TCCCCATATCACACATCTTTCACTAAAAGATGATAAAAGCCAGATTAACCAATTTCAACTTGACAAGATTTCTATATCATATCAGATCATACATATATTCAAACTTAGGTTTACATATATTCATCATTATTAATCAAGAAACCAAAAAGATTCTTAACAGTGTGTGTAAGCCCTTTGTGACAAGAACGAATCTATATCTATATGTGTGCAAAAGATTTCACATCAAGGATGTCTGCTTTGGGCAGATTTTGATGTCTTCCAAAACCATGAATCGATCTGGAGAGAAAATGATGGTTTTTGAAAAGAACAAATCCAAATCAATAAATTTTCAGAATTCATTTTTCTTTCAAAATCATGATTTTGGCACAAGCCAATCTATCCAAATACTTTCTCTATACTACTCATTTCGGTTCTCATTATAAATAATTCCACTGTAACCCTAGACATCATAAGTTCTTTTATCTAAAATATTGATTTGCCCATAATGTTTTTTTAATTTGATATTCATTAATTAAATAATACTACCTCCAATCCTTAATATAAAAACCAATTTGATTTTTAATTTGATCTTAAATATAAGATCTTAATCTACTTTGTCTCTCATATTTATTCTTTTTTTTTTAAGATAGTCCTATAGTAATAATAGTTCTAGGCGCTAATATACTTAATTGGCAAGGATATTTTAGCAAAGGTAACATTTATTTATTACAAATAACTAACTTAACTAATTTCTTTAATATACTCAAATTAATTAACTAACTTTTATATTAAGAACCAGACGTAATACTATAATTTTCCAAACAACTAAACAACCTTAATTCTTTAGCTAATGAGATATATTGCCGGCAATTTTGAAATTCTCATTTAAAAGTTTTAACTGATTTTAAGTAAATTGCTTAATCCATGTAAAATTGTTAATAGGTGCTTGTTTTAACTTTTGTTTAGGTAATGGCTGAGTCATGTTCTTAAATCTAAGTAACTATTATTTTACATAATTATCTCCTTTATCACAAACCAACACAAGTTCAAAAATTCCAAATATATATATATATATATATATATATTGGAAGCATAACTTACGAAGCAGGATAATCCATATATTTTCATTTTACTGCAACCGGATTATTAGGCACATATGTGAACTTTTTAGAAGTTATATAGTTTTTCTTTTTCAAAAAAGGTGTATTAAGTACATTATATTATTACTACTTTGTTAGTTACTTTTTTCGACCTTTTTTCCTGTTCAACCTGTGGGTTACATCAACTCCTCTACTGTCGATTCCTCTTTCTAACGTCAGGTAATAAGGATTCACTTTCTCACTTTGTTGAAGTCAAAAGATAAAACTGATCCTGGATTTTGGTATGCAATAATGTATGAGCTAGGCTTTCTATATATTTGTTTAAAAATGTAATTAGAGGTTCGCTGTTCTTAGACTCTCGTGTTTTCAATTGCATAGCTGCCCTCGATAATACTCTGCCCGCTTCACTAGCACCTAATTTCTCAATATTTTACCTAATTTAATATTATGCCCGTCTGGGACTTATGGGAATGAGAGGGACAAAAGGGGGTGGGGGGAGTATTGTTGGATGATCACTTTGTTCTCTTTATTTAATTTTCTTAACACTTTGGTGTTAAAATTTGTTTTTTTAAGCCCAAATGAGTTCAATAATTTAAAATGATAAAAAAAGAAAAGAAAAGAAGGAAGTCAAACAGGTGAGCCGAGGAGTAAGCAGTTGAGAAAAATCAGCGATCATTCAGGGGGTTAAAAAAGAAAAGGAAGATCCAGACGAATTTAGCCCCTAATCTATTGGGCTTTACGTTAATTTGCAGTTGCATAATTTCGATATCAGGCCCACTAATGATCATAATCTGGCCCAATGTGCATCGGATAATACATTGCTGAAATTTTAGTTGGGAGCTCCCCCCCCCCTTCCCAGGGACACTGCGGAGGGGAGCAGAAAATGACCCACCAAAAAAGGGAAACTCGTCTGTGTCTGATGAAGGGAAAAGTAGGCTTACGAGGGGAAAAAAAAGAGGGTGAAAACGAAATTTTCTGAGTTTGAATAGGAAGAAAAAACATAAAGAGGAGTAAGGAAAATGAATTGAGAGATTTTGGGAAGAAAATGTGTTTTCCAAAATTATCCCAAACGAGAGAGAAAAAGAAGCATGTAACCCACTACACTTGCATGTAAATATTATTGTCAATATTTAGTCATTCTTTTTAGTAACATGCTTTTTTCATATATGTATCAAAATAAATATAATTAAGTAGAGAAGATTACTATGTTTTCTCCGTGTTCTCCTCAGTCTTATCTCTTTCTTAAAGCATCATGCATTAAATGTAGGGGCAAGAGATTGTGCAGCTTATAAGTGAAGAGATTTTTTTACTTCTAATAAACTAGTCTTTCTTTCAGAATTAAATTCTTCCTAAAAACTTTTACTCATCACCGTAAGTATATGACATACTACTTCTGATTTTTAATATAAAATCTTGTTTGACTTTTATTTTGGTCTTAATTATAAGACCCCTAATCCACTTTGTCTCTCATATTTATATATTTTTTTCTCAAGCTAATCCCTCTAATAATGATAATTTTAGCTAATAAACTTGATTAGCAAGGATATTTTAAGAAAGATAACGCCTATTTATTATAAATAACTAACTTAATTTATTTTCTTAATCTTTTTTAATTAGTCAACTAGTTTTTATAGTTAGAATTGGAGGTAACATATAAAAACTCTAGGGAGAACATATATAGACAACAGGGAATGAAGTGGATGCCCTGACATTTGCACATGCTATTCTCAGAGCAACTGCTCCATTAACACTTATGAATTAATAATATAGAGACACGCATACACTTTGTGTGCCTCTTATTCTTCTCAGTTCTCACTTCCTTACTCATACTACTGCTTTCTTAATTTTGGATCTACCCTACCACATCCGCTTTTTTCATTTACTGCTATATAATATCTCCGATTTTAATTATCAAATCTCATTTGTATTCTATAAAAAATCTTATAATATGACCGAAAGTAGTATATATATTTGATTAGTTTCATTTTTATTTTTATTATTATTTTCATGAGAATCTATTTCTTGAAGCGTATATTTGATTTCACAGTTCTCTCTTTTATGACTTCTACTGTTTAATTACGAAACTTGGTGATTCCACAAGCACATATAGATTACTATTATACAACATATCAGGTGCAGGGGCTTTTTGGTTGTAACAAAGGGGCGATGACACGTGGCAGATCCTGTTGCATGCAAAAGCCACGAATTACACGTATCATCATTCCCTCTTTATGCAACAATATTTCATCATTCCTGCCCTTCCAAACGACTCATCCACACGCTATACTCTCCCCCACTCACCCCATTTCAACTTTTTTTTTTTGGTGACAAAAGAAGTGGCAAAGTCACTAAATAGACGTTCCCCTAGGTATCCCTGTTCCTTCTATATGTATCTGCCAAAATAATGCATTGAACATCTTTTGGTGGGGTTGTCCAAAGTGTCCATCTTTCTGGTTGGGTCAAGCTCATTTTAGTTGTGTAGAAACTGAATATGTCAATCTCGCTGTTTTAGTTCATGGATTTGTTCTGATAGAACTGGATCCCCTGCTACTTCCCTGGAGTCCTTGATTTGTTTGATAATCCTCTCTGCATCTGGCTCAACCAGAACTTTATTTCCTCGATCCCAGATTCCAGCATAGCTTCAAACCTTCAATGACCTTTGTTTAAACCTTGAATGAAGCTGAAGCCGAATCCAGGGGGCACTGGCTTTTATATATTACTACTTTGTTTAATGAGGTGTTTGGATGAAATTAAAACCATGATTTTAAAAATATTTTTACAGTATACGAAGTAAATATATGGAGGAGTTTGTCTTGTTTTGCGGAAAAATGTTTCTAAACACCTCCTAAATCTAATTGACAGAGAAGTGATCCTTAAAAGGAATACAGGGAAGGCAGTAAATCTAAACCCATCCATCCAATACCTTTCGATCGCTCACGCAGGGTCCACTCCCCACACCCTGTTCACCGAATCTAATCTTTATCTATATTTATAACCCATAATTTACTGTCACATAATTTTAGTGTATTACTGTAATATATAAAATTTTTATCAGGCATCAATGATGACATCATGTATAATTAAATACGGAGACAGAAAGATCAATCAAGTGAATGCACCTAGTCAACCTACAACTTTATTTTCATTCTTATTATAAGCTAGATACTTTCTAAAAATTAAAAAAAAAAGTGTTTTTTATTATAAGTCACAAACTGTGTAATATTAATTATATTTTTGTTTAAATTACCCGTATTGAAGACTTAATACAGTTTTTTCCCCCTTAAGATGTACTTTATGATTTCAAAGAAGGATAAATTTTAAAAAATATTTTAAAATAAATTTAATAACTCAACCATCTCTTCTTTAATTTTGGTTAAAAAAATGATTGAAAGTCACATTAATGAATCCCATATGTTGCTGCTCATAAAAAAGTTGTTGCAATATAATCAACGTAATAGGTCCATCATTTGCTGTGGAAACTTTTAAGTTAATACTCGCAAATCACAGTAGTGAAAAGTAAATGAGCGGTAAATCACTTTCTCAAAAGGCTGCTGTGAGACGTGAATAGAAATTGAATTCAGATGGTTTTACCAAAGGAAACCCATTCGACCAAGAATCCAGATTCCCAAGTCATGCCCACCTGTCCTCATCTCCCATGTCTTACTTTCTTCACTGCACAGCAATCTCTCTCCAAACATGAAGTTGGAAATATGCAAGAGAGAGAGAGCGCGCGCCGCCCTATTCCACCATTTATAGAGCTGACATTCAATGGCTTTGCACCAGAAAAAGGAAAAAAAGACTCCCTCTTGTTGGACTAACAGAGAGAGAGATGAGAAGACAACACTGAACGAGGTGGTCTCGACCTTACCTTCGAGTTCGACCCCTTTAATATTAAAACCCGCCTCATCAATCCCCCAACCAATGGGCGACCCTTCATCCCCTCCGTCTCACTCCCCTGAAGCCGCCGCCACCACGCCCACTCACCCTTCTTCTCGCAAAACCAAGGGCAAAGGTGGTCCAGACAACAACAAGTTTAGGTTTCGCGGGGTCAGGCAGCGAAGCTGGGGCAAATGGGTGGCCGAGATCCGTGAGCCCCGCAAGCGTACCCGCAAGTGGCTTGGCACTTTCGCCACCGCTGAAGACGCCGCCCGTGCCTACGACCGCGCCGCCCTCATCCTTTACGGCTCCAGGGCTCAGCTCAACCTTCAGCCTTCTCTGCCTTCCTCTTCCTCCTCCGCTTCCTCCTCCTCTTCTCGTCCCTCCAGTTCTTCCTCCACTCAGACCCTCCGGCCCTTGCTCCCCCGTCCCCCCGCCGCCTCCGCCTTCTTGCCCTACGGCCTTTACAATACGCAGTTTCTCTGCCCCGTCAACAACGCCCTGCAAGTGCAACATCATCCACAGAAAGTGGTGCAATTATATGGGTCCCCGAAATCGGATGGTGGAAATAATACTAATCTCGATGACTCCACTGCAGCAGCAACCTCGTACCAGAACCATATTCATGATCAGCATGCGTCCAATCAGGAGCAGCATGGTCTTAGTCACAGTCAGAGTGATTGCATGTACGATGATATTAGTTCCTTGCTAGGATCAGACTTGATTTCTTCCCAGACTATAATAACGCCGCAGCGGGCGGCCACTCTGGATCTGCCGGTAGCGGCGGGAGCAGTTAGCGTGGGATCGCCGTCTATGTGGTCGATGACAAATGATGAAGAAGAGTACCCGCCTTGTCTTTGGGACTATAATATTGATCCTTTCTTCTTTGATTTTTGAGATGGAATCAAGCGGAAAATAGCAAATAGTGCTCTCCTGTCAATTATTACTATCGTGAATAAAGCGGAAGAGGCCGGGAGACAGGTTGGCGGGTGATCGATTTAATTAGTTCTACTGTCTAAATAATGTTGCATGTGTGGCATCGGAGACCAGGTGAGAAATTAATCCTATTACGCCAGGTTTTTCTCAGGGCAAGCCACATGATCTACACACACATATATTGCTAGCTATAGGTGCCTTATATATATATATATATATGTAATGCATATATCTTCGTCTTAATCAGGTAAATGCCTTTTCTTTTTACATGGACGAAAGATATATATCTATATATATACATACTTTTAAGCAGGCATGAGTATGATATATATTGCTTAGTTAATGCGGAGATATCCGTCTTCTATTAAATTGCAGAGCCACTAAATCAAACGTTAATTTGCAAGTAACCACTTTCTGCAAAACGTCTCCTTTCGATAAAATTTTCTGTGTATGGCCCGAGGATTCCCAATGCTAATTACTTTGCCCTAATAATTTATAAATACTTATAATTATATGTTTTTCCTATCATGGTTTGATGTAATTCTATGATCATATACGTACAAAACCAGCTGTCATTACAGGAGTTAGTACTTCAGTTAATTTTTCTGTAATTTTTCACTGTGTTCAGGCGATCATGTGGTACTATTTGTCTGTAGGAAGACCCAGCTTTGATGAGCTAAGCTTAAGTTAGATCTCTTACATGCTAATAACATGCTTAATAATATAATACTCCATATAATATATATTCATGCATCCATATAAGTTGAAGATAAGCAAGATGGACATTATTACTGAATCAGTCTGCAAACAATATATGTAGGTGCATCTAAGTGTTTATATTGTTTGTATTTGACCGGGCTAATTAAAGTAATCACCCTATATATATGCTTGCAGGTCTTATCGCGTTATTTATATCATATCACATGATTTAGGATTTTCTGCTTCATTTTTTTTTATGTGCTTGTGAACAAATGTATCTTTCAGTTTTTCTTCCCCTACTTTCATGCTGTGGTAGAATTATGGCTGGATTTTGAACTGATGATGTTTGGGGTGAATTCGAGCAAAGCAACTTTCATAGTTAGGGTTCGCCGTGAAATCAGGATCGATCGGACATGATATGGTCAGGGTTCCAGACTAATAAGGCCGATTATACATCAACAGAGATCTCTCTGCAAAATTATATATTAATAATTAATAATAGGATTCAAGCTTATGATCGATTCAAAGAGGTTTATGGTCACAAGGATTGATGATAAGCATACAGATATTCTTCATACTACTATCTTTAATTCTTAATATAAGAGTTAGTTGAGTAATTTGAGTAGATTAAAAAAATTAGTTTAGTTATCTATAATATATAACTATTGTCTTTTCTAAAATATTTATACTAATCATGTGTATTAACTAGAACTATCATTTGATGAAACCTTTAACATGTACAACTATTACAAAAAAAAAAAAAAGATAAATATAAGAGGCAAAATGAATTAGGATCTTATATTTAGGATCAAATTGAAAGTTAAATTAGTTCTTATTAAGGACCGGAGGTAGTATTATATGACTTTACTATATATGTTGTATATTAATTTATGCTACTAATTCAAAATTGTTCTTAACCTAAAGCAATAGGGTCAGTGTATTCTTATAAGTGACTCGCATGCTTCTTAATTAATTAGGATAGAGGCAGAAGCACCCAGTCAATTTTTTGCGACATATCTATCTGATGAGTTTGATATTTATGTCCCCGTATATCTTACAATTTGGATCCTAGTTAATTTGAGTTTGTTGAATGTTCACACAAATTTTTATTTAAATTTTCAGCCTGGACTTACTAAATGTACACATATTTTTTTTTACTAATTTCATTTCTATCCACTCTTTCCTTATTTTTCGATGGTTTTTTTCCTCTACCTTCTGAAGTTAGTTGAAAGTTTTAGTTAAACCGAGAATGGGTATTTTCACCTTTTCCCTCGCCATCCCATTGTTTAACATGTATTTTTTTTAATTTCAATTTATATTTAATACAGGCACACTTAAGATATTTTTAGCTATGATGTAATGGCCTAGTGAACTATGAATAAATGATAATCCCTGTATTATTTTAACCATTTATAATACTATAAAAAAAACAGTACTACCTCCAATCTTAAATAAAAGATGCACTTTGTAATAATAATTGGATCTTATATTTAGATCTGGAGGTAATATTTTCTTTGCATGATATGTATAAAAGTGTGAATTTCAATGACCTATTTGGACAAATTATTTTGTCCCCACTAATTATAGGTCCACACTCCGTTACTTCGGTAAATTCCCTAGTTTTAGCTATGCATTTTGTTATATATTTTATATCCTGAATTACTGTTAATTTCTGTTGGCAAAAAGAAAAAAAGAATTACTGTTAATATCTATGATAATAACATTGATATGATTTAGAGATGCCCAACGAACGAGTTGATGAAACCTGCTTATGTTTAGGGAATATTTTGATGGAAACAAAATCATAATTTTAAAAATAATTTTACGATATACGAAGTAAATTTACGGAAAAATTTATCTCGATTTATGAAAAAATACTTTTAATGATATTAAAACACCTTTTTCGTTGTTAACCCGAACGTCTCTGTGCCATTGGGTTGGACTATTCATGTGGCCTTCTTATTGGAGCTTCATTGGTTACCAAAAAATTACAAAATAAAAACAAATCCTTAAATCTTTATATTTTATATTATTTATCGTCTTTAATATAAAAGTTAGTGAAAAATTAAATTTGATTTTAAATATAAGATCTTAATCTAATTTATCTCTAAAATTTTATAACATTTTTTCTAAAATATTCTATTAATTATAAGGGGTTCCTATCAATGAACAACTTTAATGCATATTATTAAAAAAGGTAGTTTTGGAAAAGTTAACACACATTTGTTATAATTAACTGACTTAACTAGTTTTTTAATATACTCAAATTAGTCATCCAACTGTTATATTAAGGATTGGAATTAATATATTTTATATCAATTTTACATAAAGCCATATTATTCGAAAGTCATCATCAGTGCAAGTAACTTAATGCAAAATATGAACCCATAATATAGTTAAAAGCGCTCTATTATCGCTCTCTGGTTTCATTTCACCCTTGTAAATTTGTAACTAGGATTTGTAAATTTTCTTTAAACTGGAAATTCCCTATTGCATGGGGCAGATATTTATTTTACCACCTCCGGTCCTTAATATAAGATTCCGTTTAACTTTTATTTTAGTCTTAATTATAAAATTCCAATCCACTATGTCTTTCATATTTATGTATTTTTTTTCAAAATAGTCCCTCTAATAATGATAGTTCTAGCTAATAAACTTGATTAGTAAGGATATTTTATGAAAGACAACACCTGTTTATTACAAATAACTAACTTAACTTATTTTCTTAATCTTTTCAAATTAGTCAACTAGCTCTTATAATTAAAGTTGGACGTAGTATTGAATTTTGGTTTGCTTATTCGCATCTAGTAATGTTTCAGGCTTCAAGTTCTAGCCATGTCTCTTTATTTACCCTTTTCTATTCCTATTGCTTCTAAGTGCAATGTTTACGAAGCTCCTAACGTAGAATATCATCATGAAAAATACACAAAGGATAAGAAATGATACTATTTATAAGATAAATATATACTCTTCCGATTCTTAATATATGACCCAATTCTTGAGTTAGTTTTGGTCTTAAATATAAGACCCATTTTTCATATTTATCAATTTTCTCTTAATTCCCCCTATAAATATTCCCTCAAGTATAATCAAGTAGAAGAGAGAGAGGAGGTATTATAAAAGATGTTTATGGTGTTTTAGGAAAAATGTGTCACTTTTCTTATAATTAACTAACTTACCTAACTTCCTTAATCTAATCAAATTATTTAAATGGGTCTTATATTAAGGACCGGAGGAGTATATATATACACACACTACCTTCGTTACTTAATATAAGAGCCGTTTGATTTTTTTTGTCTTAAATATAAGGCCTTAATCCATTTTATCTCATATTTATCTTTTTTTCCTCCAATGTAGTCTTTGTAATAATTGTAGTTTTATCCAATACATTTGTTTAGCAGAGATATTTTAATAAAGACAACACCTATTTTTGACAAATAACTACCTTAACTAATTTTTTTAATATACTCAAATTAGTCAACTAACTTTTATATTAAGAACAGGGACTAGTATATAAGAGGACTTAGTCTTTAGATGTGGATATACTAGTCCACTTTTACGTTTGTTATTCATGTGCTGTCGTTTTGTTGTGGGCCAATCAAATTCGAATTTGAGCAGAGCATTTGCATTTGAGATATGCAAGAAATGTTATCGTTTAACATTGAAATGAAAACGTATGAGATGTGCACATCAATATATATCCAGATTTAGGGGGTGTTTGGATGAGGCAAAACCATGGTTTGCAGAATAGCTTCTGGAGAATAGATTCTGGAGAGAATAGATTTTGAAAGAATAGATTTTCTGGAAAAGTGATTCTGATAAAGTGCGAGTGTTTAGATAATTATTATCAGAAGTGCTTTTTGATATGTAAAAATTACTAAAAAGGACATAAGTTTAAATGATAATTACATATAATATATATTTCATAATATATGTTTATTTGAAGTAATAAATTTATTAATAATATATATTTTGGCAACATAATAAATATGGCATAAATAATATAAATAATAAGAAATTAGTGTGTGTATATATTAATAAAATAAATATGTTTTTAGGAAAATGATTTATTTTGCCAAAGAAAATATTATTTATATTATTTATAAATATAAATAATATTTATAAATATAAATAATATTTATATTTATAAATAATATAAATAATATTATTTATATTATTTAAATAAGGGATACCTAAGTATCCCCGCATGCTGTTCCCTCCGTGAGCTGACCTTTGAAGCCCAATAATTGTCCCTCCTCAGA